TTGGAACTCCAACCAAGTTTTACCTGCCTTGAGGTCTTCTTAAATTGCAGTCTTTTTTAAACAATGGCAGGAGTTGGGGGGAACTAACTGCCTCATAGTTGGCTCGAATCCCATCTTAAAATGCTAATGAGAAAGTGGTGTCTTTTTAAACCCTGTGGATAAAGCAGCTTTCCCTCCTGCTGCTCTCAGAGGTCTCTCAACTCCTCCCCTGCTTACCCCTTCCCTAAGCATTGTCCTCTCCATAGGCATACAACCCCTCTCCCCACAAGCATCTTCCTCCCCTCCCCATGGGCATCTGTTCCCATTCCCACACACTGGAATTCCCCTGATCACCAACAGGCATTCACCCCACTCATTCGCACAGGCATTTTCTTCCCATTTCTCTCAAAGGCATCTCCCTCACCCAGAGGTCTGGGGTCTTGGCAACTTTCAAGCATCAAAATGTGGTCATGATAGGAAAGTTTGGTAAGCACTGTGCCATGATGTTAAGAAAAGGTGTTATATCACTCCATGGTCTTCCTTTCATTGTTAGTAATTATATTCAATAAGTTCCAATATCAGTGAAATGAGCATTTCCTTATTTTAACAGCAATAACATTTCTTGTAGTCATTGGCCATTGTCCTGGGGTAGTAAAAGGCTCTGTGTAAAGGTCAATCTTTCGAAAGCTTAAAGATTTCTTTAAAGAAAACAAATGTTTGCATTTTGCACCAATATTGTAGAATATTGAATTGCAGAATATTCAATGACTCACGACCAAATCTACATCTGTTCTCATATGGTATCTTAGGACCACCATGAGCATAATCAGCATACAGCAAGTAAGAAACTATGATGTCTTTGCTAAGGCATGTACTGTCATTCAGAAAAGGGATAATTTAGATCCGTGCTCATGCAAAGCGAGTAAAAACTCGCATTTATTAACTTCTCCGTAAAACAGAAGACAGTCAGAAAACTTTGACTCCATTATCCTCTTGCCATTCAGCTGTTGAAGTTAATGGAAAGTATTCAGTTAAACGTACTCAGGAAGCATCTCTCTGGAAACAGCAATTTATCAGACACTGCCTAGTTTAGGAAAAACTTTATTTACCGTTGATCTAACTTTCCTTTCAGAATCTTGGCTCCAACAGTCATCCAAAGGGAACAGTATTCATGTTTTATAAACAAAGTATAGTTAAATTCCTCCAATGTAGCAGTTGAATCAAGGTATAGTTACAAGACGGCGGGATTCCTTTGTTAGACTATAGCTTCAATGTGAAAATTTAGAAGTGTGTCTTAGGGAGCCTTTTAGTACACAGAGCTATTAATATAAACACTGGATGACACCCGGTAATATGGCAATGACTCTCTGTTCCTTTCACAGTTACATGTTAATATTTCTCTATGCTTAGTGATTTTGTTCAACGCCTAACCTATCAAAGCTTCCATTGTAAATTCTGAGGACAGGTTGCCTGGGTTGTATTCCCTTACCTGTGGAAGATTGAGTGGCAATCTTATTGAAACCTTTAAAATGAGACAGGGATTTGATAGGGTAGATATAGAAAAACTGGGTTTACTGGTGCAGTGAGGGGGTGGAGAAAATTACAGAACAAGGCAACATAATCTTAAAAGAAGAGCTGGGACTTTAGAATTAAATTCAGGAAGCATTTGTTCCTCAAAAACCAGGTAAATTCTCGTTCCCCAAACCCCCCAGACCATGATCCCAGTTTCCTGTGGAAGTTTGGCAAGTAGAATTCTCAATGTAGAGAACAATAGATTTTTGTTAGATAAGGGTAAAAATTGTATACGAAGGCAAGTTGATTAAATGGGACTGAGATATTGATCGACCGTCATTTAACTGAATAGTGGAACAGGCTCAAGGAATCAAATGACTCTGTATACCAGTCCTAATGTTCTGAGTTAGAACAGGAGAAGGCAAAGGGATAAATCAAAATAAAATATCCCACATGAAGCTCTTATGGGGAGAATCTTCAATTGTACGTGCGATTATAAGGAAGTGATGATTGGATCTTTCAGCCAATTGTTGATGACTCCAAAGGACATCTCATTTTTAAAAATCAACAGTCTAAAAAGCATTAAACTAAACATAATGCATTATAACAATGACTATGTTTATAAAACATCTCATTGGATGCAAAATGATTTGAGAAACATTGAGGTTATGTAAGATGCTATATAAATGCATTTGTTAAATGCATAGTGAGCATTTGGAAGTGGGTTTTGCAACTGTTAAGTGCAATTGTTCAAATGTTGCCAGTTACATTCATGCCACACGAGTGCCAGGTAATGACCATCCCCAACAATAGAGAATCTAACCATTGCCCCTTAATGTTCAATGGCATTGCTGAATCATCCACTGTCAACATCCCAGGGGTAACCATTGACCAGAAACCGAACTGAACCAGCTACATAAATGGCTGCAAGAGCAGGACAGAGTCTGCGGTGAGTAACTCACTTCCTATCTCCCCGATACCTATCTATCATTTACAAGGTACAAGTTAGGAATGTAATAAGACCATGACACCAACTCAAACAGCACACAAAAAAAAAACTTGACGCCACCCAGAGCAAACATCCCACTTTATCAGCTTTCCCCATTCATCACCTTTATCATTCACTCCCTTTATCACTGACACAGAGTGGCAGCAGTGTGTACCATCTACAAGATGCACTGCAGTAACTCACCACTACCTAGAAGGAAAAGGGAAACAGATTCTTGGCAGTATTGCTGCCAGCAAGTTCCCCTAAAAGCCACAAAACATCATGACTTGGAACTATAATCACCACTCTTTTTCTATCGATGGGTCAAATCCTGGAACCTCCCTTCCTAACAACACTGTGGGTGCCCTCAATGACTGTAACAGTTCAAGGTGGCAGCTCACTTTCTCCAGGCCAATTAGGGATAGCCAATAAACGCTGGTCCAGATAGTCACCCCCACATCCTATGAATGAAAAAAAAAATTTAAGGATCAGTAACCTGAAAAATAATGGACCAAGAGCTGCTGACAATATCTGTTTCAGTATAAACCTTCAGTAACAATTACAGCTGTTTGCACAGTTTGAAGCCAATTCACAGAGGCCAAAGGATTGAGTTTTGCCTCAGTAGATGGTTGTTCCTGTTCTATTGCCACCTGTCAGCAACCAAAGATTGATGTGGCCTCCTTACATGAACCAGTGTACATTATCTTCAAGGACACAGATACTGAGCCCAAACCCTCCTGACAAACACCTAAAACAGTCTAAGTCTCACTGCTGTTTGTGAGACCTTTCTGGGTGTCAATTAGCTGCCATGTTTCCCTGCATTATAACAGTGACTATGTTTATGAAACATCTCATTGGATGCAAAATGATTTGAGAAACATGGAGGCCATGTAAGATGCTATATAAATGCAAAGTTTTACTTTTTCTTGTCCTGACCTAGAATATAAAATGTCAGAATTTGGAGAGCAAGCTTTAACACAAAATAACGGCAGAAATTCAATGGCCATTTCCTCCACGCCCACGCTCAGCAAGGTGGCATGTGAATTTGGGAAAATAAAATTGGAGGCTGCTTATTCCTAAACATCTTTAAAGTGGTGGACCTTCTTTAACAGCATTTATTGGTGGACCCTGCTGCAAAAAAAAAAAAAAGAAATCCCTTTGGAATATTTTAGGTAAATTACAAACTAAGACACTGTACCATATTACTGACTTTCTGGGTATTCTACTCAGTAAACTAAGAGTTCCATTTACTTATCCAGTTTTACCCTAGAGACAGGAGCTATTTGATTCACACAGTGGATTGGTGCACGATCTTTCCCACTTCCATCCTTCTGTCTTCAGCCTCCTAGACTGTTCCAACAAAGTTAAGTGGAAGCTCAAGAAGCAGTACCTGGTATTTTGATTAAGATTCTACCTTCAATAACACTCAGTTCAACAGATTTAGATTATAACTACTGCTGTAATTAGTTGTTAAGAACGTAGGCTTCTTTCCCTAACAGATAATAGTCAACTATCGTTCCATAGCACAATGGGATAAATTTTATGACCTCGGCCTGACAAATTGAGAATTGTGTAATAAAGACTAGTTTGTGATACAAGATTCTTTAAAAAAAACGGAAAAAGTCTGCTCTGATGGCTGATCATTGAACTCAACATCCTAATCTCCCCTCCCCCACCACCACCCTTGATCCCTTTAGCCACATGAGCTAGATCTACCTCCTTCTTGAAAACACTATGTTTTGGCCTTAACCACTTTCTGTGCTAGTGAATTGCACAGGCTCACCACCCTCTGGGTGAAGAAATTTCTCCTCATCTCAGTTGTACAAGGTCTACTCCTTTTCCTTAAACTATGGCCCCTGGTTTGAACACTTCCTGTCACTTGCTTTTTCTCAATTTCAAAAATGTACTTTATTCATAAATATATCTCGAAATATATACATAGTCACTAAAGCAGTTTGGTTCCTGGGTCTAGGCCCAAAACATCAGCCTTCCTGCTCCTATGATGCTGCTTGGCCTGCTGCGTTCATCCAGCTCTACACCTTGTTATCTTGATTCCTGTCTGCTGCTGTTATACATTGTAATCCCTAGGCTTCATAAGACTGAACTCCACGGTTTGTGAAACTTGGGGTCTGCTGTCTTAAATCCTACTTCAGCCAATGTGACCAAGATGGCAGTTCATTTCTGGACGGAATAGGATCTATACAAAGACATTACAACCAAGTCCAGCAAGTTTCCAACAAATTTGCACCAGATCCTAAAAGAGAGTATAAACTATCATATGATTTTCTGTCCCTTTCATTTCCTTTGGTGAATCATACTTAAATCCTTTTAACGGATCATAGTAATTTCAGTAACTCCTAACTAAGGTCCATCACTGTGCTACATTATATCAATCATAACATTAAAATATTTTGCTTAGTCAAGGAAAAAGATTACATCAGGTGAGAACAATTGGAGATGAAAATGATAATTCAAAGAAAGAACAACTGCCCATTGACCGAACAGAAGGTAAAGGACATACTTGACTTTGGAAAACACAATGTCAACGTCGGTGATCGTCACATTCTTCCCGTCAGTGACGTTACAGTCTTTACATAGTTTTGACCAATTTTTGCCATTCATCTCTCTTCCTGTAGCTCTCGTGTCTCCATGAATGGCAAATTTTCTAAAGGTCTCTTCGAGGTCACTGAGCTCATCAGGTGTGGTAGCCCCACCATTAGTGCCATTTGAATTGGACACGCGTCGTTTGGCTGCTTTCTCCTGTATCCGGTCATTCTGAATCTTGGTGGATAGTTGGTCCATATTGCTGCTTGCTGGTTTGGCTTTGCAGTCAGCCATTTACTCCACTGCTGTGAAAATTTATAATATTTCATCAGATTGCACTTTAAAACATTAGTAGGTATTTCCTTTATTATGATCATAACGCATTCCAATGGTCACTATTAATGTCAGGCACTATTCTTTTACAAGGCATAAAAGATATTAAAATAAGTACATCATTGTGTTTCTTTTGACATTGCACTGCTGCAGTAACAATTGACTGTAACTTTGCCAATTTCTCTACACTGATCATCTTTTATAGAGCATATAGAGAGATTCAGTACAAGCCTTTATTTACATAGTGGCAGATAGTGCTCACTCAAACCCTGAAGATAGTGTTTACACCTCAATTAAGAAACCGCACTGGCCAACACTTATCCCCCAATTAGCAATGGACAATTTCCTTGTTATTTAACTCATTACTGATTGTGCAACCTGACTGTGTACAAATTAGCAATCTTATATTCTACAATTTGGCAATGATGGTGTATGTCAAAAAAAACCTACTTTGGGACATTCTGGGGTTGTGAATGGTATGACATAGAAGTGTAGGCTTTGCCTTTGAAATGTTGGAATTGCTACTTTACATACAAGTGCTAATAAACAAACACTTACATTAGAGAAAGAGAATGCAGTAGTTTGCATATTAGTGTCTATTAGATCTCTAACCGTGGAATTTTCCTATCTGCTTTTGGCTTCAGTGATGAAAATGGAGTTAAAAGTGAACTATATTAAAGCAAGTAGCAAGTTAAGGTTTAAAAATAACAATGCAATAAGATTCAAATATTCAAAGATCACCATAACTTTCAGTCATTGCAGCACGGAGTTCAGACACTAAACAGAACTGCTTTTCTAATTCCACTAATAATAAAGAACATCATTCAGATAGTTGGGTCCTCTCCAAATATTTCCACAGAATATGGAGCCCTTAACCACCTCCATGGTGAAAGATGCTGGACTCCAGCATGTCATATTGAAGAAGGCTCACTGGTCCTAAAATTTTAACTCTGCCTTCTCTCCACTGATGCTGCCAGGCCTGCTGAGTTTCTCCAGCAATTTCTGCTTTTGCTAAATTGACAGTTCCTTGCACCCCTACTTCAACATCGCCTGAAGTCACTGGCTATTGCCAGATTACAGCTGCACTCTGATCATGCACAGTGTTTAACTCTTCATGTATGTGCCCATGGGTTGAAGCCACCCAATAGGAAGGTTTCCCCCTTGTTTACCCTGCCACGTGAGTGGCCCAGGTTTAATCTGACCCGACAGCAGCAATGACCAGGGATTAAGGCTGAGATCTTAGTGGTCTACTTTTCTCAGTGGCACACATATTGAAAAACATCCTGATGAATTGTAATATTGTGCCGAGCACCTAAGAGTTACGTGTGTATTACTCACGGCTTGGATTGAGTTTAGAAAGCCAACCAGCCACATAAAACGGAGTGAAAAATTGCATATGGGCCACATATTATTTTTCTACAACTCTGCAATTCTTTTAAAAAGTCAGGGTACACTATAAAAGCTACTGCCTGCAGAGGGTTGCAACACACTCTCAATACGTCATCCTAGATCTTTCTAAAGCTTTGTGCTTTTACAGTGTGTGAAATTATATCATGTTATAAAAATGCAGTGTTTTTGACTCAATAGTTTAATAGTTTTATTTCAGGATCACAAATTCATCCCACAGCTTGTCAGTCAACTTGCGCCAGTTGATGCTCAGTTTGTAGCACTCTCGAAAGTTCCACTCAGGACTCAAAAAATCCAGGCTGTCCCTCCAATGGAACATTGTGGAGGTGGTGCACTGTCGGAAGAGCTGTCTTTCATCGGAGATTTTAGATCAAGTTTGGGCTTGCCCTCTCAGCTAGGTGTAAAAAGATCCCATGATACTATTCTGAAACGCAGGGGAGCTACTCCTGGAGTTCTGGCCAATATATACCCCACAGTCATCACCACCAAAACAGCTTATCTGGCCATTATCATATTACTGCTTCTGGGAGCTTGCTGTGCACAAATCAGCTGTCACACTTCCTCCGTTGCAACAGTGGCGACAGTTCAAACGTATTTCATTGGCCGTATCGTGTTTTGGGGCATTGTGAAAGGTGCTATGAGTGCACGTCATCCTTTATTTACTCTTCAGCCAACTTTAAACTAATACTGTGAACAGTTAGGGCCTGGGTCTGTATTCACTGGGAGTTTAGAAGTTTGCGAGATGATCTCATTGAAAAGTATGAAATTCTGGCAGCTGTCAGCAGAATAGATACAGGGATGATGTCTCCCCTGACGGGGAGACCAGGATAATAGGTCACAATCTCAGCTAAGCTATTTTGGACTGTTATGAGGAGAAATTTCTTCACTTAAAGGTTCGTGAACCTGTGAAATTCTCTACCGCAGAAGACAATGGAGGCAAAGTCAAGGGATATATTTAAGAAATAAATAGGAAGACTTTTAGAAGGTAAAAATGTCAAGCAGCATAGGAGGAAGAATGAGGTATGGTGTTGAGATAAAAGATCAGCCAAGATCATGAATAATATTGGAGTGAGTCAATAGGCCAATTGGCCTACCCCTGCTCCCATTTTCTGTGTTTCTATATTTCTATGGTAATATTACATGGCAAACACCAAAAGGAAGAACTACAGAGATATTTGAGAATTACAGTGCAGTTCATGCTATTGGCTTTCCTTCCCACTGGGCAGATCTTGTGTGCATGGAATTATTGGCTGTGTTCTAACACTCTGGGCTCCAGTGCAGACCCAGTTTCTACAGAGCAAGCAAGGATCAATTGCTGGATTTTCTTGGAGCTGCCTTTTCATTCTAGCTCGCCTTTTTGCCTTTTGCTGACTGTGCTCTTTGCTGCTTTGAACTAAACAATGCAACTATTTGAGATTGCTCCCCAGGCATTTCTTCCTTGTGCATTTTTCTCCCAATCTGTGGTGGGCATACCACAGTTCCTGAGATCCACCTTCAAGAAATCTGTGAGCCGTAAAACTTGGCCTACCTCGCAGAATTGTCCAAATTTAAAATTGTGAAATTAAAATACATGCCCACTCCTTCTGAGATGGGATCTGATCAATGCTTCAATTCTTGGCCTATCTGCTCCATGACATACTGCAGTGTTGGCCACTTGATTCTCCCATGTGATGCCCAAGATGTTCCAATTACATCTCAGTTGTTCAACTGCTTATTGTGTTCTGGCATAGGTGGTCTGTGGCTCAGAGACATATAGGAGGGTAGGTATTACTGCAACTTTGTAGTTTGTAGCTTTGTGGTTTGTTTAATTCCCTGTTTCTGGCACAGTCTTCTAAGTAAAGGAGCAAATGCTGAGCGTGCTCTAGCAATTCTATTTGTCACCTTGCTGTCAATGCAGACATTTCTGAAGATAATGTCACCTTTCTTTGGCGGGTGTGGAATATAGTCAGAATTAGAAGGTGGCTGTTAAAGTATCTCCGGTCTTCTTTAAGCTTAAGATTGGACATAGGTCCCTGGGCACTTTTGATAAACAGTTCATGATTCTTTGAACGTCACACTCCCAATGTCACCAAGGGCACATTTATTGGAAAGCAGCAGTCGTTGTAGCACAGGCAAACTTCTGGCTTGAACGTAAGAAAATCCCACAAACAGCACTGATATAGAAGACCAGACAATTGATATCAATTGTTGGTGGTTTAGGGATAAATATCAGGACTTTTTGAAAACTGCATGTCTCCTTTTAGATCTACCTGATTAGGCAGATAGCGACATCATTTAATATCACCTTTGGAAGACAGTACTTCCTACAATGCCGCACCCCCTCAGTATTGCTATGAAATGTTAACCTACACTGTGAGTGACTGCATTTCTCATACCACTGGCACAGATTCTTTAGTTGAGGGTTGCAGTCAGCTCAGTTGAAGAAAGTGACATCTGGTCCAAATTGGATAGACATTCCATCATCATATCAATCAAATTCCTAGCAAAGAATATTTTGAAGAGCGTGGGTGCCTCAGACACAGACCTTGTTCACACTACATTTTATTTTAATTGGAGTAATGCATTAACTACAGCCAGCATCTCTCACCATTGTGAAACTGTTGACCTGGATTTACTGCTCTATCAGGTCACCCAATCTTGGCTAAGGCTTTCCACATGGCCTCTCTGTTTAAATAATGCAGCTCAGAGTGAAACAATAAAGTCCATTCTCAAATGGTGCCCATTCATTAAAGTGCACAACAGTCAAAATGTTACTGATAACTATTGTCCTACACTGCCAACAGAATTCTCCCAATAGCTCTCAAAATCACAATTCACTTCTCAACAGAAAGACTTGCATTTATATAGTACTGTCCATGACTTCAAGAACACACAAGAACAAGAAATACTGTTGAAATGCTGCCACTGTTGTAATGCAGGAAAACAGTTTGGTGGGCCTTGTCAATTCTAATGCAGATGGGCCAAATTACCTCATTCTGTGCTGTAACTATTCTATAATTTTATAATTCTGTAACTGTAATTCTATGGAGCATTTCTAACAACACTGAATCCTTGTTGATGAGAATTATCTAGTTCCTTCTAGACACAATTTAAAGTTTCTTCAGCCACTCTGGGCCAGTCCTCTGGCAGATTCACTTCTCTTTCGGTTAAAAACAAAATTCTCCTAAATTGACAAAATTCTTCCATTGTCCTTAAATTGTACATTTCAGTCTTGTTCCCAAATACTGTACAAAAGAATTAATTCAATTATTCAAATTGTTCAAAATTTTAGCCCCTTATAGAATCTTTCCTGTTAAGTCTTTCCTTTAAGTAACTCCTCTGCTCCCTTCAATAACTAAATATCCTTTCTCTCCCTTCCTAATAATTCTTGAGATGTGGGAATCATGCAAAAGGCAGCATTTATTATTAATACCTTGTTTTGATTTGATTTGATTTATTGTTGTCACATGTACCTAAGTACAATGAAAAGTTTTGTTTTGCGAGCAGTACAGATAGATCATAACAAACAAGGGCATACAGATCATATGGCATTTAGACAGAGTGAGGCAATACAAGGTTATGCCTG